AAATTATGAAGGTTCCGATAGCGTCGCAAACCGAAATGACTCTGTCAATCTCCCATCCCAAGCAAAGTGTCCTTCTTCAAGATCCACCCTGTCGTTGAAGTCGACAAGTGTTTGCCAGGAAACCAGTGATGGACCGGTTCATGAGGCGAATCTCGTGCACCAGCCCTCATTCATTTTCGAAAATTTGCTTTACGGACAGGGTGCAAAGGGCGCCATTGTCAGAATGACGTCTCCAACGCCTCCTGGTTCCGTCTCAAGTCAATCAAGGATCCTAAAGCCACCCGTGCAATCAAATTTATGAAAGGAAAACATGTTTTCTGCGCTTCTTCATGCGTTTGTAATTACTGCGATAAATTTGCTTTTCGAGCGCCCATCTAGTTTCCACGAGATCTCATCGATACCCTTATTTTGCCAGCGACTTCTGAACTTTGCGTACCGCAACTTTCGACAGCCTGTTTCACGATGTTCTTCTCCAATGTTGTGTTACCTTTATTTATTAATATGCCTATGCGTCTGTTACTTCGAAATTAATTGTTTGTGAATAATTTATTTTTCAGGTGGCTTTTACTGGTTTGAATTTTTCGAAATAACATGTGTAACCGTGATCAATACGGTCACGTTGCAAACAACGCAATGAGATTAACGATCGTGGCAACAGCCATTAATGGGAACATTTTCATAAGTCATGACAACAAAAGCTGGTAGTATAAAACTCTGAACCAAAATGCAATTAGCTAGAATAACCGCTTAATAAAATTGCTGACTTAAGTGAGGTTCCGGCGTATATTTCGCAGACAGCGAAGGCAGAGCCCCGGCTAACCGTCTCTGTTATTTAATGAGAAAACTTGGGTCCGCTATGTGCAACATGACACCAACCTTCGCTTAAAATGGCATGGGAATGATAATGAAAGTTCGTTTTCAGTACGACCCGGTTGGTCGATGTGAATTTTGAATTAATATGTTGAACGTATAGGTGGCAGTGCAATCTTGACTTATAGGGACGTAGATGATTTCCTTCCTTGCAGTTTTCTCACAGTAATCACTGTATTTTACGAGCCAGAAATATGTCGAGCTTCAGAATCTATCTTTTGGAAACCTAATGAGTGTGGACTCATCGGAATAAGAGTGATCATAAAGAAATCTAAAACAATGAGTGCAGTTCTGTGTACGGTTGGGTAGGAATATTGAGTATTTCGTTCAGGTGTTTTATTTATGCACAATTTCGTCAATTGGGTGATCCTCCGGTATCGACGTTTCAGCTCGTGCCTGATGAGCCTTGTTCAACGTAAGGAATTGGTTGAGTTTCTGTAGTAATTAAGTAGCAATACGACCATTAAGCTAGATCAAATATCATAGAGACGTCTGGCATGTTGTATATTCTGTAATTGGCATGTGAATAAATATACTTTGTTCTGCTGCTGTGTCATCATGTTTACCTGATAAAAGACCTGCCGGGCACCCAGTAGATGTGCCTAGCTCGAAATAAGCCCTTTCATAGACAAACTCACTGCTAGTCCGCCGGCAACGGCTTCAAGCATTGGAAGAATTTCTCTTTGATTTCGCTTTGCTGCAGGTGTCTGACACTTGCAAAGTGTTCAAGGCAGCACATAACAGCCTTCTACATTTTTCATTATATAACACGTGACGCGTAGGAGTTGGTTTTACGTAGGCCGCCAGCATTGATTTTGACGATGAAATCCCGTCTAATCCGTACATGTGATGCCTGCCTTCACTCTTTATTATCAGTGACCATTGTATGCGGCCACTTTCTCCTCTTCTCACCTTCCCTCAGCCCTACACAGTTAGCGCAGCTACCTCTGGGACCTCATTCTCTGTTCAGTCTTGCCAACGGTCACGCGGTAGTCAGTAGGCGCAACGGAGAGGACTCCTATGAATGACCTATATATCTACTTATGAGTGCTGGTAATATAAAGGAGTCTGTTTTGTGTGCTATTCTTTCCCCTCCAGAGCTTCGGTCTGTGTTTAGCCCATTGCTAAAACTAATAATCCTTATTAATCGAATCATTGGTTTGCAACAGGAGGGAAACTGCTATGCCTGC